TCTGTAGCAGGACATAAATAAAAGATCTAAGTTTAACTAGTTAGTTTGTATAAAAGCTTGCCAGAAATCAGTCCCGCTCAGATTCTTGAACGTATATCTATTTTCAGATCAACCATTTGATTCACATTTTCTAGAAAGCTACACATCAGGTACTTTGATTGAGTAAATATTCGACTAAAAATGGGCGTGATTAAATTTCACTATTCAATATTCACTAAATAATAATAGTATGGAATTCTTTCGTCTAGGGGCTAGATGAACAAAAATATTCAACTATTGAGCAATACTTAAGAAAATGAATTAAAATAATAGATTTCTTGCGAAGAGCGCTCATTTATTCATATTAGAATACCTGACTGAGATGGTACCCATTTATACTTTGGTGCAGAAGTAGTGGTATTGGCTGACGAATGACTGGATTGAGGAGAACCCGAAAAGGAAAATAACGTTTTTTCTACAAGAAAAATATACAAGCTGATGATCGTACAATAAAAAAGAAGCTAGAAGAGAGATTTGCTATCCTCAATATGCAATACAGATGTAAAGCAATCGTAGAAGAAGTCGACTAGTTCAGTTAATTTAATGTAAAAAGAATGAAATATTATCCACTAGGCGAAATTTTTTGCTTCTTCTAAATATTTTTAGGATATATGGCAATATAAAAGACGTCCCGCGCCCAGTGTTCGATGAAATAACTCCACCAGTTTTATTAAAGACGCTATTCCTATAGGTCAGGAATCAAGTACAAATTAACTATTAAGTCTTTAATTTGTTTCATTTGAGAAAAAGCGTTTTTTAAAGATAATCACTTTAAAAGTATCAATAAAATTCGTAGCACTGGTTTGATCAGCAATTTCTTTTTCTTACTGTTTACATCAAACTTTCGATTACTATGATCGATATAGATACAAGTAAACCTTAAACCTATTTTGCCGAAAGGAAAGTTCGAGTTAACCTTATATAGACTATGAAAGTATAGATTCTCATGTTTATTAGGTTAATACTTGTATACGAGAAAACGTTCATTATCGGGTGGAAACTTAATCGATCAGTGGCGGCTGCTCATACGAAAGAAACGAATCTCGCTTTGAGGAACAAAAACAAGTTACTAATCTTCAAAGTTAGTATAGCAGAAATAGTTTTGTAGAAAATTGGAGAATTTATCGAAGGTTATAGTAGAATAGTCTTGAGAATTCTTTTCTCTGCAATTTTATCGAATTAAATTTTATACTGTGGAAAGTCATTACCTTCTTGCTCAAATAAACAAATATGATCGTAAGTTAAAAGAGACGTAACATGTGGAATTTGCTCCTCGCGTGATGCCTTCAGCACATCATTTCGAACACGACGTAAAAGTTTTTCAATATCTTCATTTGGTGTTTTAAGGTGCTCTAAAAGATATTTTGTAAACAATCCATGTACTTCTCCGTCTCTTCCATCATCGGCAGTTGTTCCAGGCGCACAAGCAAATGCAATTAGCGAACCAACTTTCGCCGGCATTGTTATTAATCCGTGAGAATGTTGGGGTAAATCGCGGCTTCTAGAACCCCGTAAGTCATCATTTCTTAAATCGTAAGTTCGACAACAATCTAAGAAAAAGAACGTAGCAAATGGATGTCGATCATTAATCTCATCAAGAATATTTTCTGCATCAATTGCACGTCCTCGTAAATCTGAACCACGTAACGGAGCATTGTTTTCATTAAAATTATCGGTTGGAATTAAATAATTTCGATTCTAAAACGATTAAGTTAACAGCGAATTTATTCCAATGCAGTGATTTTTGAAAATTTTTACATTCGATTGAACCCCATGACCAGCAAAATAAAATAAAACCATAGATTCTTTCTTTATTGAAGCTTGAAAGTCAACTAAAATATGTTTCATAGCTGAATATCCTAAATCTAATTGTGCTTTATCTCCTTGAATTTTAAATCCAATTTTTTTTAACAATTTTGCCATTTCATTTGCATCATTGATTGTATTTTCTAACGAATTTTCCGGGCCATAATTACCATTCCCAATGACAAGAGCTATTTTATGTCCAGAGTTTCTTGATGAAGCATTGTATTCCGTGTTTGCCATCATGAAAAGCAAATTTCAATTTAAAAAATGTTTGATCTTTATTATCAAGTTTTCTTTATTTTAAATCGTGAAAGATTATTTCTAAGAAAAAACAATCTAAAATAGAATAAAGTCTTGATATGTAGAATTTCAAAGTATCAAAATAAGCATTAATGTTTTCTCCGATGCATAGGGAATACTACGAGGAATTGACAGACTCGGTTAGAGCTAGAAGTCTTCGATTTTAACTCTCACGAAGTTAAATGTTGAAACTGTAACATTTTGTATTCGAACACAAGTAAATGAAGCCTAAGTTTCCATGGAGTCAGATCTAAACTCTGGTGACCTGCATGTTCTGTTTTATATTAAGATATACCCAAGTCAATCAATCCTAGAGTCGGCTCCTGTCGGACTTTATCGGATCCTACGAATTCCTACGAATTCCTGCAGGATTTTATCGGGTACCGGGGAACGGAATCGCATTGGATACCGACCGGATCCTACTAACGTGAACCGATAAAATCCGATACTAAAATAATTTTATAGCGAATATGCAGAATGGAATTACATGCAGTGGTAACAAAAGTAAATGGTAATTCTCTCAATTGATTTTTCGTTGCATATATCCGTTCCCACAGCAAGTCAGCGGCATATTCTGTGTCGAATCGGTTGATACGATAAACTTCACTTCAGTGACTCAATGCAGATAGGTGTCCAGGCATATATGAATACCTGGAAACATACCTTGTTCAATGAAACACCATGCTCGTAGTAAAGAAGTGGCTATATGTCTAACTAAAAGTACACTGAGCTTTTTATATTCAATGAATGTGAATTTCATTTTATTAATCGTTAGTAATTTATACATTTTCAAGCAACTGTGACTGTGCATATCTATATCTGTTTTTAGAAAAAGCGTTTCAACTTGCTTACCAATTTATGTTTCGAAGAGAGATCAATAGTTATTGTCATAAACCGAAAGCTAAATATCCAGTGCCTAAAAACTTTTATTCGAATGGAATTCCAACATCATACAAATGGGTAAGACCATTCATTTCAAAACTGCTTACTTAGAAACCTATCCCCATAGTATCATTACTCACGTCAGTTCAACTCCTGCTTCAGCCCATTTCCAATTGGCACCATGCAGTAATTAAGACTATCATTTATCTTTCACCCATTTCGGTATCTTTCATTCTTCACCTCATTTCTGATATGTCGATCTAATATTACTCCTGATATGCTGAAATCATCTCAGACGAGATCTTAGCCCGACCGATGATCACAATAGTAAGTCATACTGTCATTACACGTAGAGGTACTGCCATTTGTCGCATTTCTACAACACACACACACACACACACACACACACACATGGATGAGAGCATTTTCACACCAGTAATGCCCATATTCATAGATTCGCTATTCCCATACACAAACAAATAAACGTACGACACAGCATTCTTGATATCTACTCAGCGAACCACACACAAACCAATGGAGGATTCAAAATCGAAAAGAGATCCACAACAAATCCTGTGCATATGTACTTATAGCTTACAAGTGGAGGATTCAAAATCGAAAAGAGATTCACAACAAATCCTGTGTATATGTACTTATAGCTTACAAGTGGAGGATTCAAAATCGAAAAGATATCCACAACAAATCCTGTGCATATGTACTTATAATTTACAAGTGGAGTATTGGTACCGCGGTTGTAGCGGAAGAGGTTTTGTGCTTGGTAGGAATCGGAGAATGGGAAAGCAGGGGTGAACATATATTCTTTAGTGTTCGTAGAAACACAGGTGATGAGGAATACAGCAAACGAATCTTTCACATCGTTTGAGGTTGGATTGTGTCAGACTACTAATCGAAAATTCTACAAATAGGCATGTATAAGGGGAAGTGTTCATATGGTGAATTAAATTGAATTCTACGAATTTGAATGTGATAGAAAAGTCAATATGGTGTAGCTTTGGGCGGCAGTGCATTGCGAAGCTATGTATACCGTGTGCATTGATTGTCACAGTGGAGGATTTGGTATGTAGACTGCCGATGCCTGTTTTTGTATGATTGTGAGTAACTCCTGGATTTATGCAATACTCATTGGCTCGCGTTTTTCAGTTTCAAGGATAATGGTGATTAACATAATGTGGATTATTTGGAGCTATTTCTTGCGAAAAGCGCTCAATGGGCCAAATCACTTCGTGAGCCGTGTGACTAATAAAATGAATCTTTTAGGAATACTAACTAGTACAATATAGAGTTAATGAATACAGGGATTGTTTGTAAGACAACCTAGTTATGATCGTTTTACTGATGAGATATATCCGAGGAATGTGAGGCGTCATTGTCGGAAGGAGCCGCGTATAAACTTGTAATGAAATCTCTTGGCACAAGTATTATAAAGGTCATTGACATCCTCAAAAAGATTGCGCAACATACACGGATGTATCTACCAAAAGTCGTCAGGTTTTTCCAGGAATGTCGTCCCATTCTGATGCAACTTTGATGATTTGCAGAGGTTTGAGTAGTGGTAACTTTGACGATAAAAATTTGGCAGGTAAAAATGGAAATATTTCATTTTACTAAATACGGACGATAGCAATAGAAGCGCAGATAATTTTAAAATGATGGAACTACATTTTAGAGACAGTGTACATGAAATATAATTAAGAAAAACTAATTCACCATGTCTGGAATGTTTGCTCTGCTTGATAATAAAACCGAGGAAACAGCAGGCTAGGTGTTAGCTTTCCTTTACAATCCAAAGACTCCTGCCCACTAGACGTTGATAGGCGGAACGGAAGGTAACGGGAAAAAAGCTGATGATCTGTATCGGTTCCGTTAGTGTGTGTGTGGTTGTCCTACTTCGGAATTGGAGGAATGAATGACGTGATTCGAGGTCTTCGTGATAACGTTTATTGATAACGACGAGAGAAGAAAACAAGAAAACGACTTATGTCGATCACAGTTCAAAGAGCGGTCAGACAGGCGGCATAGAGAGAAACCAGAGAGAAAGAGATCTATATATCATGGCATCGAACCGCACATAGGACATATAGATCTGAACAAGAAGAAAGAAAGAAAAAGGTAGCGATAACAATGTACTATCTGTTATCGTTAACACTAGGGCATGTTAGAAGACATAAGCTGGTCTAGTAAACTACGGGTTCAGAATATCTCGTTCAGGCCACTTTTGATGGAAACCCCGAAATATCTCCCAAATCCATCTTAGAATCAATCAGTTTTTCAAAGTTCAGAATATTCTGTTGCAGATTTTCATGAGGATTCAGAATATTACGTTGATATTTAGGTTTGACCCAGTTTTCATAGAGAAAAATCAAGTTTCTGTGAAAGTGACCGTAAAACGTTGGTAGTATTTTTACTATCTACCATGGAGGATAAAAATAAAATTTCAGTTATATACTAATTTTATCGGATTTCTGAGATTTTCAAAATTCCGGCTCCGACGACCGTATCCTATCGGAATATCTTGGTAATCCGACAGTCAGATTCCAATGCAATTCCGTCACCAGGAATCCGATCGGATCCAGCATCGGATTGGTTGACCTGGGTAGGTCTGATAGAATTGAAGCGGTCTCATTATTGAGTCCATCTAAAATATCTCTATTAATTAAATCTAACCATTATTGAAGCTAGCTCACTTGTTTAATTCGTTGTGCAAGAGGATTGATTTCATCTCGGTACATGACAGTTTTGGAACACTTTTCTAGACGTTGCAGTAAACGCTCAAATTTTAAGCCACGACTCATTTTATTACATTGTGAGCAACAATAACTTGCACACAACATAGTGCAAAAACGCATTGTGTATTCATATTTCGTATTTGTATGATAATCTAAAAAACATAGCATTTTCCATTAAAATCAGCTGCTCCAGTATTTCGATTTAAAAAATATTTTTAAAGATTGAAATGTGCATATTGTTGTCGAAGAAATTCGTTATACTATTAAGTCAATAAATACAATAAAAAACAGTATCATATGTTTTCGATTTTCCTTTGAGCACTTGATTTCTCCGTGTATTTGCTTGACTTTTAATTTAATATGAAGATAGAAGCTTATCTACAGGATATTCCATCGTTCAATTAACATCATAGAAGTTAACATGTACAAATTTAAACTTTTGTTTGTATTTTTCCATATTCAAGAGAGCTTCTTTCTTTTAAAAGAGCATGTTGTTCAATATTTGAAAAAAGAAGAATAATAGCAGAATGACCACCACGTTCAACTATATATATGCCTTTATTTGATATAATATCAGCCGTAATCTTAGAACATGAATTATTTTCGGTTTCTGATGCTTTTAAATGAGTTTTTGAAATCTTACTGGTTGATCTCATTTGGGATTGATGAACAGTAGATCGAATGTTAAAGAAATGAGCGATTATGTTTAAATATAAAGATTATTCCCCATTCTATTTCTTATCTTATCCTGAAAAATGATTATGCATGTGAGATAGATGTTTGTACTGATATTTTGTTTATTTTAAGTATGAATATGAATGAGCTCGTACTTTTTCTTGATTGATGAAGTACTTGTATAGAAATTCTAATTAAATTTTTTGTTGCTGATAATTTTTCAACTACATGATACCTTTATAAGATGAAATTCACCATATATTTCCTTTTTTTCTTATAATCAAACTGACTAACTTCTAAAAATTTGCAATGATCATGATGCTCTTGAACATGTTATTATTATAGAGTTGACCATTAATGAACCTTATACAAACATTCTCTTCTATTGATCTTTTTAAACTGATAGTTCAATACCTCTTTTTCTCGATCGTTTGGGTTTGATTCAGT